AGAGAGAGAGAGAGAGAGAGAGAGAGAGAGAGAGAGAGATGAGCGATACAAGATTGGCTGTTACGTACCTGTGAAGTTGCTGCGCAGTCCACGAAGGAGAAAGACAGCGGCCATAGCCGCAGAGCCGGTGCCACGGAGTGACGAAGTAGGAGGGAGAAGGACAGAGGGAGAGACCGAGCAGGGAGAGAGGCGGCCATAGCTAGGAGGTGAAGAGGAGGCCGACAAAAAAAAAAATAAAAAAAATAAAGAGAGAAAGAGGAAGACAGCGGGGGAAAGGCGGCGAGGGAGGTAAGGAAGAAGGGGATTGGCGAGGAAGAAGTGCCGGCAGCCATAGCTGACCGGGGAGTTGACCGAGAGGGTTGACCGGAGGCGTTGACCGGAGTTGACCGAAGTTGATCGAGGGTCATAGCAGCGTTGACCGGTGTTGACCAAGGCCGTTGACCAAGGCGTTGACCAAGACTTTGACCAAGCTGGAGTTGGTAACATCTCGCCAAGCCCTTAGCCTGCCCCTTGCCCTATGGATGTGCACATACCCCTTGGTACTTGCTGAGTACAGTCTGTCTGTCTATTCTTTCTGCACATACCCCTTGGTACTTGCTGAGTACAGTCTGTCTGTCTATTCTTTCTGCATTGAGTCCCTTCTGTCCTAGGTCATAGCACTCTGTGGATGAAGGATAGGGCCTTGCTGCCAAACCTGCACGGGACTTAGTAGGACTAATCTCTACTCTGGTATCTGGAGAGCTGGGCATGAGCGGCGAGCGCTCGTTAAACAACTCGTCTAGCCCAATGACCGGTACTGTCTGGCAGGTCTGCTCAGTTTCAGTGTAGAGGGTCCGAACTCTGAGCTGCAGGCTGAAACGGAGGCCGTCTTTAAGTGTTGAGGGCCTGTTGGAACCACTCCCCTACCAGACCAAGTAAGGCTGATGATCTGTGTCTGACGACTCGACTGTCCCGGGGGATACGAACCCTCCCAAGGACCGGTACAGACCGGTGAGCTGCTCGGTGTGGCATAGTAGGCCGGAACGGCTGAGTTGTGGGCCGAGAGCACAGGCAGAACCAAGCTGATCACGTCGTCCTGTCTGCGACGTTAAAAAATTCTTGAGGTGTTACGGGGGATCTCCTTAAATGCCTCCTGATCAGCCACTGGTTCAGTAGTGACAGCCATAGCATAGGTCTAGGCTAGAGACCATAGTTGACAGGGTCCTTGTCAGGATTCTGTGGGTTCTTAGATTGAGTCTACAGGTTTGTCAGTCAGGGGTTAGAGTCTACGTGGTGAGGAGTGGAATCATCCTGATTGTGCACCTATCACCATGGTTGAGACCCGTACTGGGCTAGAGACTAACCCCTATAGGAAGGAGCAGCAAGAAAAGATGGCCGCCTTAGTCAAGAGAGAACAAGGAGAGAAAAGAGCGCGAGAAGCAGGCGAAGCTAAAAGCTATCGCAGATGAGCAGGCGGCGAAGATGAAGAGGTTGGAGGAGGAGATGAAGAGGGTACAACAGGAGGAGGAAGAAAGAAGGAAGGCTGCTGAAGCAGAAGCGGCAACAAAAGAAGAGAAAGAGAGAATGAGAATTGAGAGTGGAGAAGGGAGCAGTGGTGGCACGATGAAGTGGGAGACAGATACTGAGCTGGAGAAGAAGATCAGCGAGTGGGTCACTAATTTATCGTTGGGGGAAGACGAGGAGGCGGAGTCCTATGTGACTAAGGATGAGAAGGCTGTGCTGGCCGCTGAGCTAGCAGCCATGACAGACCCAATGGAACGAAGAGTGAGGGAAGACGAGCAAAAGTTAGCATGGAAGTTGAGAATGAAGAGGGAGAAGAAGAGGAGGAGAGAGGAAGTGAATAAGATGACCGCAACGGTGGCAAAGGTGCAGGAGTGTAGAGCGGAGTTGCTGGCCCAACCAGATGATAAGGCCAAGTGGGACAAGGTACTGGGCGATCTAGAGGTGTTGAGCAAGGCCTGGATGGAGGAGCGCCAGGCAAGTTGGAGCCAAGATGTAGCCTTGAGTGCCATGTGGTCAGGGTTTAGGGGCTTTGCGCGCGAGATCGTCACCCATATTGGGGGCGAAGTCAAACAATTGAGAGACAATGTAGGGAAGTTTTGTGAGGGCGCCATTCAGGGTGCCAAAGCTGTAGC